CCGATGCCGATGGCTGCGATAAATTTGTCCGGCGGTTTGTTGGTTAGCCGGTTGGCCGACCAATTGGCCAGTGGTCTGTCAGTGGCCTGCCCCTGCCAGGGTTTCCAGGGCTTGCCGCACGTGCCTTCACGGTGAAACCAATTTGTTTTGCCGCGTGAATGTTATACTCTTCCTCCCCGACGTCGTCGTCGCAGCCCGAGGGGTTACCCACTCGTTGCTTTAGTGTACACACGATTCCGGATTCCCGCGATTCCCAGAACATATCTCTGAGAAAAAGAGAGAACTTTCGAAAAAATTCTTTGTATTTGAATGTTTTTGTGTGTATCACATGGTTACCATGACTTTAAATTGAAACTATGAGGATTTTCCATCAAATTTTGAAAGATTTAGGAATGATTCCCGGACTGAGTGTACACATGATTCCCGGAGTGGGTAACCCCTCGTCGCAGCCGCTGTGCGTGGCTGGTTGCTCGTATGCCATTTTGGGCCCGGGCGCTTTGAAACCTGGCTGGCAGCAGGGATGGCAAAGGGAAAAGAGGAGGGGGGAAGGGCGTCACTGCGTTCGGAGCGCGCCGAACTTTAGGGTACGGCGAGCGAGAAACGCGCGACCGCAGAGTTGGGCGTTGGGCTCAACGCGAACGTAGTACAGCGCGGTGCGGCGTGTGGTGGGTTCGGCGGGCAGCAGCGTGCAAAAACTGGCACCTTTCCTCGTCGCCGTCGCCGAGTGAAAAACAAACGCAGTCAAAAAGCGGGAAACTGCTATCTGCTCCGCGCCACTGCTGCCAACTCCGCCCAGACTTCCGCTTTCGGCCAATCGCAGGGTTTGGCTTTTGAAAGTTTGCAGGGACGGGCGCTGGGCTGACTTTTTGATTGGTACTTTTGTTCTTCACCTGGCGCGGCGACTGAAAGGGTTTAGCTGCGCCTCTCCAGACCGACCGTCTCGAGGATGTGCATCGGTACGGAGATAGTCATCTGAAAAGGAGGCGTTGAATTCGGTAGTCGGCTTGGCCCCGCCTCGCCCCGCCCCGCCTCTCGCGCCCGGTTTAGCGCTCGCGAACAGATTACCGTCGGCTTATGAAGTGGCCGCACGGAGTGAAAGAGATCGCCCCAGTTGACTCGCGGGCCGTGAGCGCTACGAGCGCAGCGAGCGCGGCGAGCGCTCAGCGGATTAGCGGCGCCTCGTTGACAATGCTCCTCTTCGCCTTCTTTCGACACCGAGCGTCTCGCCTCCAACTTCCTTTCCTAATGCACTTTGCCGAAAGTCGCTCGGCGTCTGTAATTTGAACGCGGCCACTCGGAAAGGCCGCTGCAGCTCCACTGCAGCTGACTCGGGCCTACCGCCCTCGGCCCTACCTGACCGTCCCGAGAGTGTGAGTGCGCGTTGCCGCGTTGGCTGAGCCACACAGCCTGCATGCCGCAGGGCCATCGCTCGGGTCGCCCGGGTCGGATGGTCGGATCCATTGGGGTGATGGCAGCCAAAGTGGCTCTCAGGGCCCGGCTGCCTCGCTGCCTCGCTCCGGACCGCCGAGGCCGCCGACGCCGTCTCTCACATGTGCAGCATCATCATCACGGGGTCCACGACGGCGCCCTCGCTGCTCGCATCGCCGCACTGCCTCGCCGTGTCAATCCCTCCGTCTGCTCTTTATTTCGGGATGAGCTGTCTTTAATTGGGGAGGAAGCCTCTCGGGAGTGAGGCCCCCCCCCCTCCCCGCGGCAAAGCTTCGTAATTGACACCCACATTTCCCGCCGGTTTCCCACGCCGAAAGGCAGAACAGCATTTCGGGCGTCGCCGGCCGCGCTGCGTTCCAAGCCGGGCCAAGCCGGGCCCGGGGGGCTGAGTGGGGGGCGGGGCGGCGTTTTGGCGTGGCGCCGCGTGGTGCCGGCCCGGGCCCGGGGCGTGGCGCGCGCTACCCATCAAAACATTTACAGTGCGTAGGCCTAGAGTGCGCGGGCCCGCCCGGCCCCCCTCGGTGCGATGAGCGATGCCTTTCGCAGTGCACCGCGCAGAAAAAGGCGAGGCCCTTGTTCGGGTTGACTAGCGTCGCCGGTCGCCACTCCAGGGTGGCCTGTTGCTGCTGCTGGACCTGCCAGACGCCGACGGGCGGACGGCTTCTGTTTTGGTATGATTCGCTGGAAGCAAGGCGGCAGCACAGCGCTGGCGGCGGCGAGCGTCGGGGCGTTCGGGGGACGGAATGTCGTAGCGTCGGCTCGGTGGCTGGAAAAAAAAAGGCAAAAGAAAAAAGTGGAGACGCAAGTGAATTCTCTACCTTGCCTTGCACGGCGGACTCCGAAGGGTCTCCCTCGCACTCAGCCGTCTCGCAGAGGTGCGAGAGAGACAGAGCGCTTCGGAATCGGCCTGCAGGGCCGAGACGGCCGGCACGTCAAGCCCACTGTTTACGCCCGAAACAACGGCGACATCCGGGCGTGGGGTACCCGCGGGAGTACCCCAGGGAGTACCCCAGGGAGTAGGACTTGCCGCGGGGCTAGGCCAACGTCTAGCTGTTCGTGTGAGTGCGCTGTGCGCCCCGCGCCCCGCCCCCAGCCCGCTATTAGTTTAGTTTTTGTCGTCGTTTTACGACTTTGCTAAACTCTCCAAATTACTGTCCCGTTGGCGCCGCTTTCCCGCGCCTTTTGGCGTAATGCGCGATGGCCGGCGATGGCACTACACTGGTCATGTGGCTTGTGGAGCCTGCCCGGCCCGCCGCCTGCCCGCCGGCCGCGGGGTGGCGAGGCGACGGCCCGATCGGCCCATCTCGGGCCAGCCTTGTTTTTGGGGCTCCCCGCCAGAGGGGGCGATCATCTCCCGATGCGATGTGCTGATCGGCGGGGCGGGGCGTGGCGGGGCGTGGCGGGGCGTGGCGGGGCGTAGCGCACCGCTCTGGAGCGCCCCGAGCCCATAGGGCGTAGCACCGGCCGCCCCGCCCTGGCCGCCCCGCCTCGGCCGCCCCGCCCCGGCCCCGCGGCGGTACAAAAGATGGTCCGCTTCATTTTCATATTGGGCTTGGGCGGGCCGGCGTGCAGGCTGGTTGCGAACCGCGCTTCTGTCTCCCTCGCGCCCTTCCGGCACGCCCCATGCGTGCGAGCGAGACAGAGCGGCTGTTCGGATTGGGCTTGGTGGACGCACCGCCGCGCCGCCGCACCGTGCCACGCATTGGCCATGCCTCTCTCTCAGCCAGGCCGGCACTTAGCCCCGGGACGTCCACGGAGATTCTTTTTCTAGCCTAACTGGCCGAACGGACCACGGGCCGTCAGGCCCAGTCAGGCCACAGCCCCCTTTTGTCCCCGGGCCATTTTTATATCCCGGCCTAGTGTCCTCGTTGATCCAAGCAGCGCCTTGTGCCTGACCTGACCTCGTTTGCCTTCCATTTTGGTTTCAACGCGTCAGTGGTATCATTTCCATGTGAAACGGGCGCGGTGGGCGCGACGGTCCACACTCTGGGAAAAAATCACAGTAAATCCTGTAGTGATAAGTACAGCTGTCACTGTAGTTCAGAGTACAGGATTTACTGTACTTTTTTGACAGGATCTACTGTGCTTTGTACGGGATTTCCTGTACCACAGGAGTTGAGTACGGAATATCCTGTACCAGGTACAGTAAATACTGTCGCCAGGCACAGTAGATCCTGTGTTCTAAACTACAGTAAATCCCGGCAAAAAAATTAACGGGATTCACTGTGGTTTTTTCGCACAGTGCAGGAGGTCTCTCTCTCTCTCTCTCTCTCTCTCTCGCCCTCTCGCCCTCTCGCCCTCTCTCTCTCTCTCTCCCTCTCACGCACACACGCACCCTTATACTAACACACACACGCGCGTGCGCTCACCTCTTTGAAAAGGCTTGACGGAACCGAACGGGACGTCTCCCCTCCTATCCGTGTGCGTTCGGTTTTGTTCCGAGAGTAAACTTGGGCTGTGTTCGCTGGGTAAATAATCGGTGCACCTGTCAGGCCGGGCAAAGGTGCCCTCTTCCCCTCCCCACCCCTCTATCCGCACTCGATGCGGTCAGACGCTGTGGGTCCCACTGCGTGTCCCGCTGCGTCCCGCCGTACTGCGGGAGGGCCTGCAGGAAGGAGGAGGCGTCGTCGCGCCGCGGAGAAAGAAGACCCGGTGGTGCAGTGCAGTGGCGTGTATCGCGCCGTGCACGTTCATTGGCGCGGCAATAGAAATAGGAATGGTGGTCCCATGCAGAAAATCCCATCTCCCGGCTTCAGCTTTATTGCCATCCCGCGGCTCATGAGTTTCGCGAGGCTGCGAAGCTGCGCGGAGTTTATTGCGCGTCTGGACCTGGGCAACTCGAGGCGGCCCCGTCTGCGTAAAGCTCACCGGGCGAGGGGGGCGAGGGGGAGGGTCTCTGGCTAGATGTTGCGGGCGCGATGCTGTCCGGTGGGGGTGGGGGTGTGCCGCGGCGGGAAGGGCTTGCCGCCTTGCGTGCTGTTGCGGGCCGGCCGGCTGGCGGACGGGTGACTCGCCCGGTGGTTTGCAGCATCCTGGAGATCGGGCAAATAGTGGCCCAGCCAAGCCCGGTGGCGTGCCGAAGTGCCGACTCCGTGTCGCTGAGAGGGCTTAACGGTTCCGGCCGGCCGGGTCGGGGCTCTGCGAGTCGTCGCGGCGGACGCGGCCTGCCTGGCCTGCCTGGCCTGCCTGCTTGGCCTCTTGACATTCAAGAGCCGGGACCTGACCCGGGCCCGGCCATGCGATTGCCATGGCACTGCACTGCTGGCTCCGACATGGCCGTCGTCGCCTGGTCTGGCGCGCGGGCGAGCTTTTCAAAAACGGAGCGACTGGTGAACTGTGAACCTTGCGCCGCAGTTGCGATGTGTGTTGGCGACTCAAACGGACTCCTCCACCACGCCAGCGGCGCACGGCCGGCGCCTTCCAGTCTCCATTGCCAGTCGAAGGGCGGCCGTCCGCTCGGGTGTCAAACGTGTCGTGTCAAAGGGCCGAAGTGCCTCTGCATTCCCTTGCCCGAGAAAGGTCCTCATGTTCCTCTTCTCTCGTTGTTGCAGGTCGCCATCTCCACTGCCTCGGCCACGCTCCGCACCGCCCTGGACGGGCGTGCCACCATCGGGCAGACCGTGGTGCTGATACCCGACTCCTGGGGCGAATCCTGCCTGCCGCCGCTGCCAGGCATCGGCCCTGACGGCGAGGCCGCCAAGCCCACCGTCGTCTCGTCCATGGGCGAGACCCCGGACATCACGGTGATGAAGCTGGACCCCGCCTTCGGGTCGAACCTCTTCACGCAGCAGTCCCGCGGCTGCGGCCAGCCGGGCGACCAGGTGTACCTGGGCTCTACCCTGCTGGAGGAGCCCTTCCCCGACCTAGGGAGGCGCCTGGCTCGCGAGTTCGCCAAGTACCGCTACGGCGTGTTCGACGAGAGCGGCATCGAGGACGACCCCATCTACCCCATCTGCCACCGCCGCGAGCCGAACAACCGCCTGTCCTTGACGGGCTGCTCCGACCTGCCCCTCGAGGGCGAGCACACCGCGTGCGCCACCGGCACCAACCACGCCAACCTGTCCGAGCTGGTGCAGCCCTCCTCGCACTCCTCGCTCATGTTCGCGCCCTCCGTGCCCCACGTGGACCACTTCTGCGACGAACACACCCACGACAGACTTGCACCCACCAAGCAGAACGCCTTCTGCGGCCGGCGCTCCGTCATGGAGGTCATCAACTTGCACGATGACTTTCGGGGGAGCAACAGGGCCAACGCGTCAGTCCCCGTGCCTCCACCCTCCTTCGTCTACAAGCGGGCGACGCTGACGCGCTACATGCTCGTCGTCGAGGACTCCAAGGACATGTCCATCCGCGACACCTGGACCTTCCTCCGAACGGCGGTTCGCAAGTGGGCCAACCTGGACCTGACCGTCAACACCGAAGTCGGCTTGTTGGTAGTCAACGAGTCTTCCTCAGCCTACACCGTCCCCTTGCAGGCCATCAGCGGTCCAGATGCCCGCAGTCTCATCTCCTCCAACATACCCTACACGGCCGCGGAGAGCCACGCCCCCGTCTGCTTGTCCTGCGCCGTGCGCAAAGCACGCGAACTGATGAAAGAACGGGAGCGCCTCAGCGGCCCCGCCAGCTCCGTCATCATCCTAGTCGGGTGCGGCACCGACAACCCGGCTGACCTCAAGCTCGCCGCCATGGAGGCTGCCGCCGACGGAGTGCGCGTCGCCACCATCACCTACCCCGCCGTGATCAGAAGCTCGCCCCTCGACATTGCTGCCTCCGTCACCGACACCCTCGCCTTCATCATCGAGGAGAAGGGCTACAGCATGGCCATGTCCATGCTCGGCGCCTACTTCCGCCTGACCACCGCCCTCTTCGACATCACCACCCACTTCTACGTGGGCCACCTCAGCCTCCTGCCCATCGAGGTGCACCGCCGCGCGCTCAACGACCTGTCCAAAGACCTGACGGGGTCCTTCGTCATGGAGGAGGGCATGGGCACTCCCTCACGGTTTGGCGTGTACGCCTACGACACGGAGAACCCGCTGCTCAGGAATATCTTCCTCGTCTCGCCCAGCCATAAGAGCTACTCCTTGCGCACTGAGCAGCACATCAACGTCAGGATGCTCTCCCTCGCCACCGACATCAACGAGGTAAGTCGCGCCACGCCACGCCGCCCGTCATTCTGAGGTTAGGCAACCCAACTGCCTCGCGAGGCTATGCTCTGTCGGCCGCCCGTCAGTCTGGGGGTAGGCAACCCAACTGACTGGCGCGGAAGGCACAGTGGTTTGAACTCTGTTATTCTGTTTCAGACTGGCACCTGGCAGTACAAGATCGAACGCTTCCGCGGCAACCCGCAGCCCCACTTCGTGCAGGTGGTGGCCAGCGCCCGGTCCCCGCTCATCCCCGTGGTTCGCGCACGCTTCTACACCTCCAAGGGCAAGGGCCCGTTGGTGCTGTACGTCCAAGTGACGTACGGCCACTTCCCCGTGCTCGGCGCCTCCGTCGAGGTGACCATCACGCGCCCCAACCTGCCCGGCCAGCCCGGCCAGCCCGGCCAGATCGCCCAGCCCGCCCAGCTCAACCAGACCAACACCACGGTCAGCAGCGAGACGTTCCTGCTCCTGGACACTGGCGCCGGCGACCCCGACCTCATGCGCGGCGATGGCATCTACTCGCGGTACTTCAGCACCCTCATGAGCGGCGCCGGCACCTACACCTTCCACGTGACGGTCACGGACAACGGCCACACCGCCTACTCCTGGAAGGAGAACCGCCAGGGGCAGCACAGCCCGGTCGAGGGCTACGGTAAGTGCACTGTGAAACTAGAGGAGCAGGTGTGGAATTTGCAGTCTCCGCACTTGGAAGTGCCGTTTACTGTCTCCACACTTAAAGTGTGGAGTTCTTCACGTTTGCACCAAACCAAGCTCTGTCGGCTACACTTGAATAAGTGAGCAGTCCGCAAACTCCACACGTCCGCACCAGAAAGTGTTTTACAGTGGGTGACGGGCCCAGCCGGCCCAGCCTGCCTGTGACGTGTCCGGACGTGTCGCTAACGGTGTGCCCTGTTCTGTGCCCCCAGGTTCTTGCTGCGGCAGTGAACTCAAAACCCCCGCCCAACACATCTTGCCGCCGTTCCAACGCATCCTGCCGCCGCTCACCATGGTCCTCGGGGACTCCGCCTCGATGCTGGAGCACGACTCCCCGTTCACGTCGCCCGGCCGCGTGGGTAACCTGCGCGTCGAGGTGCTGGGCGGGGAACCCAGAGCGCGCCTCACCTGGACCAGCCCGGACTTCGGCGGGCTCGAAGCGGACCGCTACGAGATCAAATACTCCACCCAACTGCGTGAATTGGTAAGATATGCCTCCGCGGCCGCGTCATTGCCCAGTGAGTTGCGCGCCAGGCGTGGCTAACCGAAGTCTCTCCTCCGCAGATCGACGCCTTCGACACCCAGGCCCAGACTTGGGAGCATGGTTTCCCGCCCACCGCGTCCCCCGGCAAGCTCATCAGCTTCACCCTGGACGTGTCTCTGGAGCCCAGCCTGCTGGACACTCACTTCTACGTGGCGATGCGCGCCTACCCCGAAGAGGACGTGGACCTGGGCCCCGGGCCCGTGTCCAACTGGGTGCGCGTCTTCGTCAAGTCCCCGCCGCCGGTCGTGACCACCCCGACGAGTGTGAGAGGCGGCAACGACGCCGGCGGCCACGACATGCCGCCGTGGGACATGGGCCCCGAAGGCGAGGACGGCCCCGACCAGCGCGTCACCGGCTACCTAGAGATCGGCCTGGACATCATCATCCCCGTCATCGGCGGCGTCCTCCTGCTCGTCATCTGCCTCGGAGTGTACTGCTACCTGTGCGTGGTGCGCCGCGAAACCCCCAGGGCCGTCAAGATAAACCACAACAACGGAGCCCCTGGCGGCGGGCCCCCCAGGCCCCCAGCGACCTGCGCCGAAGCCGACAACAGCCCCTGCTTCGAGCAGAAGAGGCGCTTGGATGTGGACGACGCGATGGACATGCACGCGCAGCCGGGGAACCACAGCGGTGGGCACCCCAGCCCCACGCACAGCATGCCCGCCACGACGAAGCTCTCGTTGATCCCGTTCAACACCGGCAACATCGAGCAGAAGCCCGTCAGCCCCTTCGGCATGTGGAGCGCGTCGGAGTTGCTGGGCGAGCACGACCGGCGCGTCAACCCCGACGACGACGAGCACGCGCTGCCCGCCTACCACATCCAGTACCAGTACCAGCCGTACCACCACCAGCACACGCAGCTCCCGCAGCACGCCGTGGACGGCAGGCCGCCGCAGTACGACCAGCAGTACTACCAGGAGCCGCACTCACCGCCCGTGCCGCCGCTGCCGCACCTGCACTTCGAGGAGGACGCTATGTACGGCGTGCGGCAGCAGTGCCACCCGCAGCCCCACCCGCAGCAAGGGTTCCTGCAAAACAACCGGGCCATGGCCTTCAACCCCAGCCTGCAGGGCTCGCTCAGCTCCGTCAACAGCGACCGCAAGAAAAGGAACGTCACGATGGTCTGAGATTTGCTTCGCGGGTTTGAACCCGCGCGCTGCTCTTGTATCGTGGTTGTGATCCTGGAGCCGCATCTCAGGTTTGGACCTGGGCGCTCGCAGTAGGGGCCGTCGACATTTGCGACTTTTCGATTTCGACAACGGAATAGCACTCAAAAGTTGCGTTTTTTTAAAGCTGATTTCAGATCTGTCCTTGGTTTTGCGATCAGACAAAGCTTTGATGACCCTACCGGGCCCTTTTATGCAAAAAAGCGGTGTTTTTCATGTTTCTACTGTGTTTAAAGGGTCCCGGACAGCCTCCACGTCGTCGGCCAAAGGGAGGTGACCGTTGAGTTGTCTTCAGTAGCATAAAAGACAACACTCTGAGCCACGAGGGGTCGAGGGTCACCCCTCTAATGTGCCAAAGACCTGAAAAACTGAATTTTTTTGGTCGAAAATCACTCAATTTTTACCATTTTTTTACCGTTTTTCGACTATTACGAGAGCCCACGGGCCCGAGGTCATAACTTACGCAGACCAAAAGGTGTCACTGGGTATAAGAAAGGTCACCCAGCCCCTGCCCGGGCCCGGGGAGGCGCTGGGGCAGCGAGAGAGGCGGTGTCGAATATGTTCAAAATGACCAAAATCAGCTGATCGGCCGCCTGGGACATGCTGTGTAGGGGATGGGAGCGTGTCGCCGCGCCGGTCACGACGCTTCCCCCCGCTGCCCGCCCAGCCGGCCTGCTAGCCAGCCGGCCTGCCAGCCCGTCGGCGCTGCGTAAGACTGCAAGAGGGACAGAGCGACGGGAGCTGCAGGGCGGGCAGGCTAAAAGCGTTTCCAAAGAATCCATCGCTGCCTCTGTCGCACCCCGGAGGCAGAGCGACGGAGTGCTGCTGGCGCGTGTTGAGTTTGAGTTGCCTAGGCACAGTGAGGCAAGGCGTCAGAGTCGACGGTGACCGCTGCAAGCGTCGTGCCAGCCTGGCATGGTCGACATGAGCCCCGATGGCCTGAGCCCCGGCCGAGCCCGACTTGAGCGCCGACACGAGCACTGACTGAGCTACGATGGCCAGAGCCCCGAACTGAGCCCCGGCCGAGCCCGACTCGAGCTGCGATGTCCAAAACCCCGACCTGAGCCTTTTTTGAGCCCCGACCTGGGCCTCATTTGATCCTCATTTGAGCCCCGCGCCTAAAAAGTTAAAATTTTCAATTTGAACCAAAATTTTGAAGAACAATTCAAAAATGGAAGTTTTTTCGGCGTGGGGCTCAGATGGGACTCAGGTCGGAGCTCAAACCAGGCTCGGTTCGGGGCTCTGGCCATCGTAGCTCAGTCAGTGCTCGTGTCGGCGCTCAAGTCGGGCTCGGCCGGGGCTCAGGCCATCGGGGCTCATGTCGACCATATGCCAGGCTGGCACGACGCTTGCAGCGGTCACCGCCGACTCTGACGCCTTGCCTCACTGTGCCTAGGCAACTCAAACTTAACACGCGCCAGCAGCACTCCGTCGCTTTGCCTCCGGGGTGCGACAGAGGCAGCTAGCAGGCCGGCTGGGCGGGCAGCGGGCGAAGCGTCGTGACCGGCGCGGCGACACGCTCCCATCCCCTACACAGCATGTCCCAGGCGGCCGATCAGCTGATTTTGGTCATTTTGAACATATTCGACACCGCCTCTCTCGCTGCCCCAGCGCCTCCCCGGGCCCCGGGGAGGGGCTGGGTGACCTTTCTTATACCCAGTGACACCTTTTTGGGCTGCGTAAGTTATGACCTCGGGCCCGTGGGCTCTCGTAATAGTCGATAAACGGTGAAAAAATGGTAAAAAATTTAGTGATTTTCGACCAAAAAAATTCAGTTTTTCAGGTCTTTGGCACATTAGAGGGGTGACCCTCGACCCCTCGTGGCTCAGAGTGTTTTTCTTTTATGCTACTGAAGACAACTCAACGGTCACCTACCTTGGCCGACGACGTGGAGGCTGTCCCGGGGGCCTTAACACAGTAGAAACATGAAAAACACCGCTTTTTTGCATAAAACGGCCGGTAGGGTCATCAAAGCTTTGTCTGATCGCAAAACCAAGGACAGATCTGAAATCAGCATTAAAAAACGCAACTTTTGAGTGCTATTCCGTTGTCGAAATCGAAAAGTCGCAAATGTCGACGGCCCCTAGCTCGCAGCAGGATCGTGATCTGGCCATGGCCGAAGCAGAGGTCCGGCACCTGGCCACGTCCCTAGCCGAGGACTTCGACCGGCTGAAGGCCGTGGAAGAGGACGCGGCTGAGGCCAGGGAACGGGAAAAGGCCCGCGCCCAGGAGGAGGCGCGTGCCCAAGAGGAGGCCCGCGCCCAGGAGGAGGCCCGCGTCCAGGAGGAGGCAAGGGCTAAGAAGGAGGCGCACAAAAGGGCCAATGCCGATTCCCAGTTGAGGGCCAACCTCAAGGCGCAGGCCCTAGCAGACGTCGTTAACGCCGTGCGCCTTTACCGGTACAAGTGTGAGTGCGACAGTGCGACGCGAAGCTCAACTTTTGGACACTTGCGAAAGCAACAGTGCCTGCCAAGGGCCTGGGAGATGATCCACGTGTGATTGTTAAGGCAAGTCTCTGAGATTCTTCCGCCGCGACCCCAAGCTGTTGCCCAGTGTGTGAAACGTCATTCCTCTAGTCTTTTCTTCTCGCGCCTATTTCTCTCTTGTAAAGTGTGTTTCTCCAAAGGTACTGTGCAGCAGAGTGGGGCGGCTTTGGCCTGCCTGAAGAGATATTTAACTAGTATTAACGCCTTAATTCCAAATGGATGTCACGATGTCACTTCCAGTCAAGTTAAGGGACCATTTTTGGGTCTCGATGACTCAAATTGACGTCTCTTGGATGGAAAGTGACTTCTGGTTTCACTTGGGAATAGTCAATGTTTTTAAATTATAATAATTATCTGTGTATAGTGTATTCTGTCTATTTTCGTAAGTTTATCTATAGTCCTCAATTGTTTTTGTTTCTGTTGAAATTTTTCTCTATATTTGTTTGTATGTTCGAATTTAAACTCGGTGTCTAGTTGAGTCTATCTGTGCTTCGCTGTGTCTGTGTCCATTTGTGTCTAGCCTTGTCTATCTGTGTTTATGTCTTTGCAGTTCAACTTTCTAGGATAAATCGGTATTTCCTATGTATCAAATTATCAACCCAGTAACAAGAACATCAATGCTAGGGCAATGGGTTATTTCCTTGACATTTTCCCCATGGGTTGCCTAAAAGGCATCTCTTGGGAAAGCACAGTGAACGTTGTGTTTAGTGTACTTGTGTCATTGCACTTTTTCTATACTACAAATCATTGTCTACATTATATTATGATGCCAACCCCTATTGTGTCCCTGTTATAGTGTGTCCTTGCATTGTGCTCTTGTATTTTAAAAATTACCCAATGAAGTGTGTCATTTTATGCTCTGCATGGGCGTACAGGACATGAGCCCCGCCCCGTTTGACCCCCGATCGGTCTGAGCCCGACCAGAGCCCCAACCCCAGCCCGACCTGAGCCCCGACTCGGCAGCGACTCGACCCCCAATATCCTGAGCCCGGAGCCCTGTCCTGAGCCCGCATTCAGCGTCGACGTGAGCCCCATTTGAGTCCCGCATTGAGCCGCGGGGCTCAAATGAAGCTCGGGTCGGGGCTGAACCGGAATCATGCCGGGGCTCCAGACATTGGGGCTTGGATCAAGGCCAAAATCTGCGCTCAACTCGGACATAGGTTGGGGCTCGGAACATCGGGGCTCAAACGGCGCTCCTGTATGCCTTTGCCTGAAGCATGCGTTCTAGTCATTAGCACATGCATGTGCGCCTAAGAATTTCAATTGTTTTGCAGCATGTCCGCCTTTCTCTCCCATTCTTATTTGAAAGAAAAGAATCTGTCTTTGTTCAGTTAATGCAGTGATAATCCATAGTACACAGAAAAATCTGTGACACCACCAGAAATGCTGCATGTAAATTGACAACTTGGCGGGAGGGAAGACTGACTGAACTCACTACTTTAAGTGTGTAGTGGAAATCAATTGCATATTGTAAATATTTTTTTTGTTTGTAAATATAAAATTATACATTGCCATGCTAGAATGTTATATAGTTAAAATGTTATGAATAAAATTGAATGTTATGCATGTATGAAGTGGATCTGTGTATGATAACATAGTAGAATTATAAATAAATTTGAAGTGATCTCACAAGAAACCAATGTTCTTTCCTATAACTCCTGACACTATGGAGGACCATTTCAGTCCTACACAACCTTTCTCATCAAAAAACTAGACTTATTTAGTCATGTACCGGAAATATGTAGGCAACCCATGGCCTTTTCAGCGCAATATAAATTAAGTAGATTTTTTTTCTGGTGAAAATCGGGAATTAGTTGAGCTTGCGCCTGTAAGATAGGCAAACCATCGTTCAGTTCAACAAGCTTCACGTTAAAGGTCATTTCAAAAACAATACAGAATGCGCCAAAGAACATTGCGCACGGACATAGCAACGCTTCAGACGCAATTTCAGACTAATCGGAGGTGGTCGACCATTTTCGTCGAAAAAAGCAATGGGTCGGTCGGTCGCAGACGGTCGGTCGGTCCATCGATAACACTAGCTCAATGCGAGGCATTATGCGAGGCAGCGGTGGGAGCCGACGGCGGGAACTCTTTCGCATCTTAGCGCCACCAAGGTAGGCCACCCATTAGACACGCTGGGGTTGGGAGCTGGCCCTTACAGAGCCAAGGTAGGCCGCCCATTTGACACGCTGTTGTGTCACACCGCCCTTTTGGCCTAAGCACGCCTGGGAGTCAAACCTTGACCCTTCATCGTGGCGGCTGCTCTTTCTTAGCCACTTGTACACTCATCTGCTTACATACTCCCTTTTTGTCGTGCTCTGCAAACTAAAGTGTGTACATAGTGCACTCTTATTAAAGCATGCTTCCATGCACACTCTTATTTTCAGCATACTTGCCAGGCACACGCTAAAGTAGAGTGTGCCTGGCATGTACTCGCTAAATAAGAGTGTACCTTGCAAGTACACGCTAAAATACACTCGATTATTCCTATCTAAAAGCACGGGCCAGTTTAAGTGTACTTAGCAGGTACACTCTTGTTTAGCGTGTACATGCCTTACACTTTATTTAAGCGTGTGCCTAGCAAGTATGCTGTAAATAAGAGTGTGCTTGGAAGCATGCTCTAATAAGAGTGTACTATGTACACACCTCAGTTTGCAGAGTGGCGGCCATCATGGAGGGCGAAGAGGAAGAGAGTTATTGTTTTTATATTTTTAGGTATATTTGTATCAATATTAACAAAAGCATTGTACAAATAGCAAAATGGAAAAAATCCTAAAATAAACACTACATAAATAGGCATAAAGTTGAAACACATCCAAATTATTGCAGGTAGTACCTCATCTGACTTCTTATTTATTCATTTATTGTAGAAGGGAAACAACTTTTTCCTTCCAATTCATTCCATAAAAATCTTGACACAGGTAGAAAAGCCCTCAGTTTTAATAATAATTAGGTGTATTCTGTTGGAATTGTGTGTGCACCATTCAGACATAATCAAAATCATTAGTATCAAATATCTTTGAACAATCAATAGACAATAGACCTTACAAATTAACAACAACAAAGGCATATACAAAGTTACTATGTTGACATAATAACTTACATAACACAAAAAGAATAATCAATAGGCTCCTGTGAAAATAATACCACTAATGTTCAGACTTTCATACCAGGTCATAAAGTGGTATTTTGTATCCCAGCATCAGCATGAGGATGTTTGCCATAAACTTGATCTCTAGTCTTTGCATTCTAATTTTAGTTATCAACAATCAGATGTTAAAAAGCACATCTATAATTTGATGTCATCTCAGAAAGCAGAGGTGGTCCAGGCTATTTCAAGTCCAACAAGAAACAGTTGTTAAAACCCATTGGATTAATAAAGATGGCCCAAGTCACAATATAAATCATGTCAACCACAAATGCTGATACACTACAACATTCTAAAATCTGTTTTAGCACACAACAAAACATGTGTTACTCCAGGTAGAGATAAAACTTATGTCACATTCAACTCCAGACTACTCAAGTATCACATAATTCATATCAATCATTATTAACATCTTTAAAATCATCTTTCTAAAATAATTGGCAGGATGTATGCCAGAAATAATTATAAAAATGTCACATGAAAAGAATCAAATAGATTTTGACTAGGTAACTTATTTTGTGCCTCTATTGAGAGACAGATTGAGGGACACATTATAAAAACTCAGTACAATCAGAACAGAAGTGCGTTTTTCAATGTTGCATCCAATGAAAACCTTTGAAGATGTAAGATAATACTCAAGTTCTTGTACACTAATTTACAGATAATATCAGTGAAACACCCTTTGACTTAAAACTGTCCCTCTTCAATATATCGACAAACACTTGTTGGAAGAGGCAAATTTTTGATCTGATCTACACTAGTGTGTTGTCTAATCACGAAACGGCATAGATATTTAAGTGATTCCACATGAGTGATACGAGACACTGGTTTTGCTAGTCGGACAGGAAATGATGGATGTCCAGGTGACCGTGGTCTTGAATAGCAAAACACATTGGATTGAGACGAACTGATAGAATGCTCAATCATTTCAGGAATGCTACTGAAAGGATATGGTTCTGGTACAGAATACAAACTAAATTTCCCACTAGCATGAAAGATCCGAGTGTGGAAAGTTCGCCCAGAGCAGCGAAAGCTGACGGTCAGAAGAAAATGGTCATTTCCCGAGTCTCGAACCTGGATAAGAAAGGATAAGCACAAAATTAGACGCAATATAAATAAGAAAACCCTAAAACACAATAAAACAATCAACAAAATGTATTACCAGGAAGGACCCTTCAGGTTGGTTAGATAATGTTTCCTCAGCTTTCTCACGAGTTAAGGGACCCCAATACCACCCATACTTAGAAAGCTCTTGCAAATGGCCGGAGAGGCTTTGAGTTTGGTCAGTCATGTCCATGTCAGCAATCGGATGATCTTCCTCAGGACTTTCATCAGAAGGGTTTGAATTTGACATGGTTGAAAATGGACCTCTAGATTCATTTAAAGACAAAGATTTCTGAACTCTGGATCGATATTTGGAGCGGACATCAGTGATTATCCTTTTAATGTTACTAAGAAATCCTGCTTTTGAAGGTTTCTCATCAGAAGACTGTTCATTGTCACTATCTTCATCATGGTTATCATCCTCTTGCTGATTCATATCTGCTCGCATTGAAAAGCCTTGTCTGAAGACTGAGTTGATGTAGTTTAAGCTCCTATTGTGCAGTTTTTTCGAATTCTGGATGCAGGTCATCTCAGAGAATTAAATAGCTGCGGACATGACAGAACACGAAGATTAGTTAAGAAATTAAAATTAAACATACCAACAAAACAATATTAAAGACAGAATAAACAAAGAGGAGGTTGATTAAATTCTTCTTAGATACTATTTGTGTTAAGCTGGTTGCTGGTTGTGTCATCAACAAAAGGACATGTGAAACATGTGACAGATGATGCAGGTTCATGAGTTCAAAAAATTTCTGATCAATTAAAATTTTAAAACTGAACTGAAAGGACCTCTGGGCTAAAGGGAAAGAGAGAGAAATTCTTCTTCATTGAGATCATGCCCTTGGGCCACTACACAAAAGGTGCAAATAAAGTTGACCCCAAAAATAAATATTTGTCTTAAGATATAGGTTTAGGCTATTGACCTTTAGGAGTGACCGTTGTAAAATGAACAAATGAAGTAAACGGGTAAATTAAAAGAACATCAAAAGAATATTGAGTAGTTATATTAGATTCACCCACCCTAAACTAAACGTAAATAATAAGTCAACCACCCTCAGCAACACTCAGATGGCGAAACCCTAACCTAGCCTCAACAAAACAAGCAAAATAGGACACGAAATTAATAATTGCGTCCATTTAAATCGGAAACCAGCAAGAATCTCTTCTCAGGCGTACATGGTTGAGAAAAATCTCCGGGCAACATAAATAATATGTGTTTTCAAAGAGACTTTGAATTTATGAGGACTAAAGTTACTACTCTAAAACTCCGTACTAACCGGCTTCATATTAGTTTATGCTAGTGAAAAGAAGCCTTCAAGGCAGCACTGTCTATTCGAGTACTCCGTCTCAAAATGATCATTCATAAAAAACATACTGTCAAAACGAATAAAAGCTACAACAGCATTATCATGACTCAAACACACACACAGACACACGCAACGACACGGACACACTTACAGTATGAAAAATATAGCTCCCTGGGCTGGTTGGCGGGGCGGGAGTATTTGAAATTGAAAATAATCCCATAATTCAGAGGTATGATTCATGCGCACCGCCCTTTTTTTTCTCGTCCAACTAACAACTGCCTTCGATTCAACTCTTTTCTGTTTCAATGGTTTTCAACTCAGCTGGATGTCTGCTGTTCTAATTAAAGTTTTCCCTGCCACAAGCACATCAAATATTTTGCTAGCTTCTGCCTGCTTCAGCTGTAAAGACCAACTGACATGACCATGAAGTCCTTAGTACTTAGCTTAGAAATTGGCAATGGATAATCTGAGACAAGAAGTCAACTACAGTGTAAACTCCATGTTTGTGTAGCTTTATGCGGGTCTTTTGACATGCCTTCCTCGCTTTACCTTAGTGCCAGAAAAGACCCACATTTCATCCTCTATAGTCTACTAGTGAAGTGCATTGTTTGAACATTCTATAATGTTTATCAAAATGACTTATCCCAAATGTTGACTCTCCTTATGTTGTTTTGACATTATTCTGTTGATTCTGTATGGTTCACTTCTTCCCTATGCTTATAACACTTTGATTATGCTCAAAAAGTTGATGTTGGCTATAACTTATTTTGATAAATTTTAAAGAATTTTAGCATTTTAAAGAATTAAAGAAACCTCGAGTCAAAGTAAGTTACAAATGCCTTCTTCTTTTTGCCTTGGTACAGTTCTGAAATTGGAAAGTGTGGGAAGTAAGAAGGACAAATTATCAATGACATTTTCTTTAATCCACACTATTGATGAATAATGATACAAATACAACACTTTCATAATATTGGCCTACCTCTCATTTTGTTAACTTAAATTATACATGGGAATATACAGCTATCGTACATAAGAGAGCCACTGTATGGCGCATTTGTAAGATTTTCTTCCAAGAAAGGAAAAGAATGATTGCATTGATATACAGGATGAAAAACAGAGATACACTGTTTAAATTTTTCACAAATTTATCACCGAGGAGAAACCGTGCTGATGGCAATCAGCTTACTACAATGAAGTAATTCATTTGGTTTATCAAGGTCACAACTGTGGCAAATGTAGCATTACAATCCACAGGGCTTCAGAAATGCCATATACTCATATGGTTTGCGGTTATCCCAAAGTTTAATGAGCTGTGAGGGTACAGCTGAATCTTTGGGGCAAATCTTATTTGAAAACAGTAGCCAAATTTTCTTTTGTGGCAGAACGACACTAGCCTTTGCTCCACACTAAAATCACTAATGACTAGAAGAGATATGGGAATATACAATGAGTAACTACTCAGATTTCAATGAGATACGTATGCCTCAAAATTAGTATTATCAATTCCCTACTGATGTCCAGGTATTGCATGGTATTACACATTATTCTCACAAAATTGAAATTTAAAGACAAATTCAAGGTCACTTACTTGGCAACCTTAAAATCACATATGATAAACTTGATCACTTCATCTGATGGCTCTGCAATACAGCGCTTGGATGAAATCTCAGTTGATGTCAGAATGTAAGTGCATCATTATGGCCTACTGTCAGTACAGGATTGGACCCACTAAAGTAATACCACGCAACCATTCTTATCTACAGTTAAAACTTACAAAGAATCAGACGGGATAGGGGAACATAGCATGGTGCTAATTGGTAACCCCCACTCAATATCACAAAACAAAGTCTTGCTGTGAATCTGCAGAATGCAATGCAAACACATCACAAGAGAATCACAACACAAGACTGCTTGGAGCACCCCCGTGTCAACAAACATTTTTCATCGTGTCTTTCAATTTAATCTAATGCCATGAGTAGGTCTATGTAATAGAAACTTAAATAATTTTGGCAGTGTAAGCACATCACACTCATTGCAGAATAATTTGTTTCACATCATCAAATAAAATACGTGCCTAGAAGCAATTTCTAATAAATGCTTTGTATACAAGTTACATTACCCCATTCTTAAAATTAACAGCCTTGAAATAATAGTATTAAGAAATAAGTTGCACATTTTTACCAGGCTGGGGACAAAACTATGTTTTAAACAAGTCTTAACAATAATAAAACAGATTGTTATTAATATAAATTTGCACCTTTAACAATATGTACACAAAGAGAATATTGACTACAAAGGGATTTTCAACTGTGGCCTAGAATTTTGTAGCCACGAGTAACATTGCACTATCGATTCATCAGAAGTGGTACTAAATACTCATTGTAGTGACAGCATTTTGACATAAATTCAGTTGCGACAGAATTGTGAAAGTACAATATGAAACTATATATGTTTCAGCAGCATGTGGAATGTTGGCACTACAGGCCCATCATAATAAGATAGTAGTCCCTTTGAAAAAATTAGGCGAAAAAATTTGAACGTCATCCATATTCTTACATACTAGTAATGGAGGAAACAAAGTAGAGTGCTAATCAATATAAAAGTTTGAGCAGTTTGTTCTCTTAATCAGCTGCTCTTGTTAAAATTTTGTTAAAGGTTGGATGGAGTCAAATTGGAAATAACAGCCGCAAAACTGTACAGGCAAACATTTGAAACACTGCAGCTCATTAGGCCGAACAAAGAAAACGTTCATAGAAATTTGACCAGTCCATTGACTAATTGACTCTAGATCTTAAGCTCGTTTACTTATTTATTTACTACCATAAAGAACATGAATGTTAAAGATTAGCATGACAAATTTAATGAAATTTGTAGAAATACATGGAAACTAAAACTCAGGGGAGATAGTAATTTCAGTGATTGACCATTTTGTAAGCATGTAGAAAAGCCATCTGCCATCTGCTCACTATACCAATGAATATACTAAAAAAATTGGAACATTATGTTGAAAGAACAATTCAAAGAAGAATTTCAAGTCCGATCTACTACTACATTACTGAAATGCATATTTTCATGACAAGAGCTGGCCTAATTTCTGATAAGGAACAACATACATAACAACTGTCAAATTTAAAACATTCCTAACATGTCTTGTGAATTTAATAAAAGTTTGGAATACATTGAGTTTAAAGACCAAACCAACAATAGTACTATTTCCTTTCAGACTCTGACGTGTCATGATAATGAGTTTCTGCCAAACGGTGACTGTGTGACTGAAAAAATTTGCTCTTCAGAGAATCACACACACACTCATACTTGAAATCCACACTTAGAATGCCCCGTCTCAAGTCTTCCTGCAATTTGGGGCGATGAACTGGCACAGTGTCACAAGTGTCAAAGAGGGCGGTCGCGCCGAGCGCCGAGCAATGATGGCTGAGCGTCCGCGGCGTCTGGCCCTGGCCGCCCTCGCGTCAATATTCTCCTTGGTGAACCTTTATTTACATGTTGTTCACCAAGTCAAGCAACTCTCAGAAAAGCAGGTCCGTCCCCGACTCCTCGCTCCACGTCACCGACTCGCCCTCCCGCGCGGGCTTCAGGTGGTCGCCGTCGTCGGAGTGGTCCCGGTCCGCCTCCAGGGTGTCCACGCTCGACGCGGTGGAGGCCCCGCTGGCCGCGTCGTCCGGGGATGACAGGCTGGACAGGCTGGGCGACGAGGCGGACGGAACTCGGGTCACCCCGAGCTGGAACGGTTCCGAGGCGCCCAGCGCGCCCAGCTGCAACTTGCTGGGGGTGTAGCTAGCCAGACTACCGCTACCTACAACACAAGGACAAGGGCAAGGGTCAGGCAGTGCAGGGCAGGGCAGGGCAGGGCAGGCTGGACAAGGTGTGCCACGAGGAGGGGCAATGCAGTCACTATTTCGGGATTACTCTGTTCAAAAGACTGCAACAGTGAGCAAGTCTCTACCTGAAAATCGAAATACTAAAGTGCAGGAGTTAAATCGCCAAACGCCAGGCATTACGGAGACATGGCTATTAAAGGGTTGGCAGGGCAGAGTTGCACTAACATGAGTGAGGAAAACCTAGACCAGGGATTCGGTCCCTACGGGCCAGTGTAAAACAAGAAAGCTTCTTGGACCTGAAACAAGGAAGAAAAAGGCAGTTGGCTTGAGAGGTTCAACGCCAAACTAATGCTGGAATCGCCGCAACAGTCAGCAGCTCCCGTCGCTCCGTCTCTCTCGCACCCCTCCAACACGGCCCATGAGTGTGAGAGAGACAGAGCGACGAAAGTGCTTCTCGTCAGAGCCAGTGACGACGAGCAGGGGCCCCAAGGACCAAGCTTGCTCCGCCAGGAGACTGATTTCGAGCGGGAGGCCTGTCTCTCTCGCTCTCGCGGGGCGTGCCGTACAGGTGCGAGAGAGACAGCATCACCGTTCTCCCGGACGGGGGCTCATCTCTGGGACTTGACTTTCTCCTTGATAACTCACCTAGCGGCACGGGCAGGCCAGACAGGCCGGGCGAGGGGGCGGAGGGCGGCGCGGGGGCGGGGGTGCTAGGCGGGGGCGGGGTGGGGGCGGGGTGGGCTCCGTCCTCCAGCAGCGACGCCTCCGACGGGTACTCGAACATGGTGGTGGCCTCGTCGTTGAACTGGATGCGCAACTGCAACACAAGAAGAGGCCATTAGACATGAGCACAGCCAGCCATTTCGCATAGTGCGTTCACTGGGAAAACTTAATCGTACAGTCTGTACGCCCTTCTTGAAGAGCTCATCCGCTCGCACCCCAAGGGACCCCCCACGAGACTCGCGAGCACTCGCCGCTTCGCGAGTCGGGTAGGGAGACGGGGCTCACCTCCATGCCGCATCAGTTACGACGAACAACGCCCGTTTGCGAATCTCCCCGCTTCACTTGTGTAAGTTTTTTCAGGATGTCAGAAAAATGTCTGAAATCTTGATCAAAATTCGCACACCTCTGAAAGCTGAAATGCTGAAAACTTACTCTGATATTGACGGCTTGAATTCTACAGACTGTCAGGAGATGTTTTCAGCTTTCAGAGGTGCGCAAATTTTGATCGGGTTTTCAGACAAGCTTCTGACATTCTGACAAGATTTACGCGAGTGTTCCGCGCGATTGGGTTCCAAACGACCTCCAAAACAGTGAAACTTATCTCGTGGCGAGCCGGCAAGCCTCGACGCCGTCCTCGACGCCGTCCGAGTGGTCGGAGCGACGCGAGCGGGCGCCCTCCAACTTGCAGCTAGGGGCCAATGAGTCAACGAGGAGCACGGCGCAGTCGTCCCGTCGCTCTGTCTCTCTCGCACTCTCGGGGCGCCCCGCAAGGAGTGCGAGAGGGACAGGTGGGAAAGGAAAACGCCAACGCCCCAGCGATGCCCGCGTCTGCCGGCGTCAGCGCCGAGGTTCGAATCGCAGCCGCGGCCGGATCTGGATCGGGATCTCATCTCCATCTGGGTCTGGTTCGGGCAGCCTGGGAAGCTAGTAAAGCCGAAAGCCCCGCCGAGGGGCGGCGAGGCGGCGGCAGCGGCGGCGACGTGGAATGAAAGCGGGTGGCGATGAGAGCGTCTCTGCAGACTGACTCCGACGGCCTCTCTCGCACTCATGGGGCGGCCCGCGTAGGTGCGACAGAGAGCGCACGACGAAAACGACTCTGGACGACGGGTAACGGCCGACTGCACGTCTCATTGGACCAGAACAGCAGCAGCCGCCGTGGCGCTGTGCGGAGCGAGAGAGACGGAGCGTGCTGGATTTTGGACACAGCCGCAAGGCGTCACAGTGGACCGGCATCCAGCATCGCAGGCGTTCGACACCGGCCGCCTGCAGTCTGATTCCGAGAGCTGTTTTCGTCGCTCTGTCTCACCCCATGAGTGCTCGTGAGACAGCGACGAAAACGACTCTCGGAACCAGTCTGCAGTCGGAACTGCTCGCTCACCCTCATGGGGCGTTCCGTATGGATGTGGGTGTGACAGAGACGGACTGAAATCAGTCCACCACGGGCAGCATGCACTATGCAGCCGAGGTGCCGGTGGCTGTGATGTGTCCACACAACGACAGTGCGACCGCCGCTGTGCCGGCGGGCGATGGCAGGCTATGGCGGGCCTGCCCCCGGGCCGGTGTGACAGTGTACGTGCAACAGCGAGCGGCACAGCGGGGAGTCATTAGCCTGCAGTCACGCGGGCCTACACCGCGACACCATCTGTCGCCCTCAAAGTTTGCAAAGCCGGCGAAGCCCCGAGGCACGACGACGACCCAGAGCAGAGGCGGGGAGGGGGCGGGCAAGTGGCTGGGCCGCTGCACTGCAAGGCGGGGCGGGGCGGGGCGGGGCGGGGCGGGGGCGTTCGCGGTAGCGAGGACACCAACGAGTTGGTGCGGATCCCGGTACCGAGTACCAACGGTGCTGCAAACGGGGGCCCGCGCCGTCCCGCCCCGTCCCGTCCCCGCCGCGCGGCAGGCCTTGCAGTGCAGGGCGCACCCACCTTCAACGCGCTGCTCGGCGCTGCTGCATTGTTTCCTCGCGTCACCGCGAGCAAATCATCGCCACCATTGCTCCAAAGACTCAACTCAGGCCCACAGGGAGGCTACTTCGAGCGGCAATCGAAGTTCAAGATATGCAGTCCCGCCGACAGGGCTGCATCGCGGGCCTGCCTACCCAGCCTTCGTAAGGGGCCCGGCCTGGCGGGCAGGCACACTCGAAAGCTCGCTTGTTGCATAATGCCGTGTCAAGGCTCATTTCCCTGGCAAGAGAAGTCATCAAACAAGTAAATGCCACTGTTTTCACACCCGCATGCAAAAAAAAAATGTTTTCAACTTTGATGACGCATTGTCATGATTTCCAATTGATGAGAATGTCGTCCAGGGTTCTGACATGGAGCGCCAGCAAATTTTGGCAGTGCAGGAACTCCCGGACGCTACCCTGCACGTAATAGGGGCGATTCCTTGGCGCATGTTCCCCCAAGATGAAGATGCCCTTCCCCAGAAATGGCAGCCTTTTCTCGCAGCTTTTGGCAGTGTCCGCGGTTGCCATATACACCTGCCGTGGCGAGCACTTGGAGCACTTGGGCGTGGGAGGCCCGTTTGTCCAGGGCGGCGTGCTGGGCGGTGTGACTGTGTGACCGAGGGTGTGATACACTGTGACGCAAGGCGGTCAAAGCAGTGCAGGCTCAAGGCCCCCAAGGCCCCCACGCCGGCCGGCACGGACAGTCGCGGCAGTCGCACGCCCCGGAGTCCCTGCCTGACAGCAGACTGAGAGTCGTTCTCGTCTCTCTCGCACTCATGGGGTGTCCCGGTGCGGGCGAGACAGCGCGACGACGACTCTCGGAATGAGTCTCGGGACGCACCTCGGCATCGGCACTGCGATTGGCTGAGGCCCGTCGAGGGCCCAGGCTGCCAAGCGGCCGCCACGCCGCCACGCCACAGGACGAGATGAGAAAAACGTCTTTGGAAAACGGCAAGGCGGCGATACGCCAACAAAGCCGCAATACGCGCCACGCGGCGCCACGCCACCGCCGAGCAGCAGAGAAAAGGGACAAACGAAAAATGAGAAAAAAGACGGCAGGTACATGCTCCGCTAGCGGTTCTCTTACGTGGCCGTGCAGTGCCGTGTGGCGTTGCGGGGAGGGGCGGGGCGGGGGCGCGCGGGGGCGTGCTGGCGCGCCATGGCGTGGCGGTACGCCACCGACACGAGGTGGAACGGCGCGGGCGGCCATCGACACGCCAGCGCGCCAGCCAGCGCCAGCCAGCCGCACAGAGTTCACATAACAGAAGGCCTCGCTCGCCTCGCGCCGTGCCAAGACACACAGCACCGCACAGCACTGCTCTGCTGGCTCTGCTCGTGCTGGACTTGAGAGCGTGCCACCTCCACCGTTCCGTCCGGACAGTCCTGGAAGCCAGTGCACCTGTCGCGCGGCCAGCGGGGCCATCCAGCGTCGCGCATCCTCCCTGCATCACCTTCTTGCTCTAGAAGCGGCACGCGGGACGGGCAAGGGCTGGCCGCGCGGGCTGGACCGCCTGGACTTCCCTCGACCGCCTCGTTAGGCGGACGCTTTGTACTGTGCTTTGTGCGCGCCGCCAGTGGGTGGAGCGCGGAACCGTGTTGACGCGCGCGTCACAACGACGACAACGACAACACCCACCGCATAGTGTTGCCATCCGGCTGGGCGCCACGGCACTGCAAGGCACTGCACAGCACTGCAAAGCGAGCACGTGGGGCGCCAGTCCCGCGGCGAGGGCGAAGCCGCGAAGCACGGCGACAGCGTTAATGAATCAGAGAAAGCGGCTGCCGCACGCGCCGCCAAGCCGTGCCTCACCTCCAGCCAGGGCGTTCCAGCCAGGGCGTTCCAGCCAGGGCGTTCCAGCCAGGGCGTTCCAGCCAGGGCGTTCCAGCCAGGGCGTTCCAGCCAGGGCGTTCCAGCCAGGGCGTTCCAGCCAGGGCGTTCCAGCCAGGGCGTTCCAGCCAGGGCGTTCCAGCCAGGGCGCTCCAGCCAGAGCGTGCTCCACGAGTGTCCGGGAGTTCTCCAGGAGAGTCCCGAGTCTCCAGGAGTGCCCAGAAGTCTCCAGGAGGCCACTAATGGCCCTGCACTGCAATCCATAATGCATGCCGCGTTGCCGCGCGTTGCCGCGGCGTGCCCGACTCGGTGCCCGACCACCCGCCTGTCAATGAGCCTGTCAATGAAAAGCCAGAAGGAGGAAGGACAAAAAAGCGCGGCGCAACCAGGAAGTGCCCAGGCTCGCGCCCACCCGGCAGGGCCCGGCAGGCACACTGAGCAAACTGCAAACGGGACGCGGCGGCCGTCCTCCCTCCAGGGGCCTCGCCGCGCGCTGCTTGCGCTGCGCGTTGCGAAAAAGGGGCAGCGATTTGAAAGCATTTTGTCGGCGGCATGGCGGCGGCGTCCCCGTCTAGTCCGCGGCTTCCCGGCCCTGCGGCGCCGCGCTTCCCCACTGGAAGCCTTGCAGCCAGTGGCAAGGGCAAGCAGCAAGCAGGCCATCCGCGGCGCCGTAATCACTTGGAATTCCACAACGCACGCAGAAGTGGAGAAAAAAAAAGCAATAACGCGCGAGCGAAAAAAAGCGCGAGAAAAAAACCGGCAGCCGCCTGCTCCGGGGACATACCGCACGGCGGCGGCGCGGGCAGCTCCGAAGAGTGGAGCAATCCAGACATGACGGGATCTAGAGCCGCCGGTGCCGGCAATGCGGGCCGGGGTCACGGCCCCACGGAGCACGGGCAAGCGGGTCAAAAAGCAGGGCACTGCAGCTCTACTTCGAGATGGTTTTCTGCGCTATCGTGCCAAACAATGACGTCAGATAGAGTGGCAAGGTGCTGCTCGCTGCCGGATCGCAGCGGCACGGGCCGGCCAGTCAAAGTCTGGAAGCTAAACGGTGAGCCCGACTGGACATGCACGCCGCGCTGCCGCGGTGGCACCGGATACGCGCGGCCGGGCCGAGGGACGCACGGACGGACAGACAGACGGACAGACAGACGGGCGGATGTCATGCGGTCGATCACCGCGCAGAGGAAGTGCACGTGCGCGCAGCCAACTGTGAGGCCGGGCGTGATGCATTGGCTGACGCATGCAAAGTACAAAGATCGACGGATGCGTCTCCGCGGGGCTCGTTTTCTGGTGGACGTCCACACAAACCGCCGCCAATGTGTGAGACGCGGTTCGCCAGGACTGTCTCTCTCACACGCACTCGTGGGACGCGGTGCGAGAGAGACACCGACTGGCCGTGGTATCGAATGTCGCTGGCGGCCTGGCGGCCTTCCTATGGGCACGCCAGCACGCCGCGCACCCACCCACGCCTCGCCGGCCCGGCCTGCCCTTCTTGGACTGGCGTCAAAACCAAAACAGCATGCCGCTCCACTGCAGTGGACAGAAATAGGTTTCAACTGGAGTGGCAGAGTGACGTCACGTCGTCCGTCCGTCAATGACGGCACGGGGCGATAAGGTAAAACCAATCACACGCCGCGGTTTTCACTTGACCCAAAAGGACGGGGACTGCTGCACCGTCAGGCAACGGGAGACGGCAGGACAACGGTTAACGTCCACGCTATCTCCCTCGCTTTCGAGAAGGACCGCCGGAAAGCCCTCCTTCGGTCGAGTGGGCCACAAGTAGACCATCGGCTTCCCGCGTGGTATTGAAAGGTGTCTGGCGGACTCCGACGGTCCCGCATCAGTCTGCTCTGCTCCGTCGCGACGCGTCGAGGAATTTAGATAGTCCGGCGGCTTCAGGGTCTCAGACGTCTGGGAATGGCGATGGCACGCGCGGTGCGGGCCCTGCCCTGGCTGGCCGTGCTGGCCGTCGCCTTGTGTGGCGGCGCCGCGTTGGAAGGCCCGGACGGCCTGGAAGACCCCTTCGCCGTGCCGGAGGGGCTGCTCATCGGGGCGGGGGTGTCCGCCATCCAGACGGAGGGGGCCTGGGACGAGGACGGTGAGCACACTGGAGGGAGGGATCACTGTCAAACCCAGGGAGAACCCCACACTTGAAATGCGGAGGGGTGGAGTTTGCAGTCTACTCACTTCAAGTGTGGAGCTCTCTGGTTTGACATTGTACCTTCCCAACTTGCGCCCGCCTGCGTGACGGGGGTCACTGAGTGCTTTGTGGCGCAGGCAAGGGCGAGAGCGCCGCGGACCACCTGCTGCACATCGGCAAGCTCTCCGCCTTCGGCTTCGGCAACGACTCGCGCGAGCACGACGTGGCGGCCGACTCGTACCACCGCTACAAGGAGGACGTCCGGGCCGCGGCCCAGCTCGGGGTGAGCATCACAGTGGACTTGCCGGCGGTCGACATTCCGGACGCGTTTTGAGCGCCAGAGTCGCCAAATGGGACTCGAATCGAACGGGTGACCCCACCAATGGATTGCTCTCTGAACGACGAATCCATTGGTGGGGTCATACGTTCGGTTCGAATCATAGCGACTCTGGATCTCAAAACGCGGCCAGAGTTTTGGCCGCCGCCGCCGGTCTTCTGGTCCACTGTACACAGGTGGCTGATCCTGATTCAGTGGCCGCCTTTTGAAGAATTTTGTATCCGCGCCACACTGTCAAACCAAGTTTGGAGAACTTCCTGGTGCGGGGTAATCCTCCACACTTGGGCGAGTGGAGTTTGCATATTCTGCACTTCTCTTGGCATGGTGGAGGACTCCACACTTAGAGACTGCGACGGCACTACCAAGTGCGGAGTGGGGCCAAACTAACGCGGCGATGCGATTGCAGCTCAAGCTGTACCGCTTCTCCATCTCGTGGTCGCGAGTGCTGCCGGACGCCGTCACCAGGAACGAGAAGGGCGTCCAGTACTACCACCGCCTCATCGACGAGGTCCTCAAGTACAACATGACCCCCATGGTGAGCGACCTCCTAGCCCTTGCCGTTTAATTTTAGTCAGTTTCACCTTTTCTGAGGCCAAGTGACGAGACAGACTGATCAAAAACTTTGGACGGACACCGCAGGTGACGCTGTACCACTTTGACCACCCTTGGATTCTGGAGGATCAGTTCAAAGGATGGCAGAGCGAGAAAATGGTCGACTACTTCAAGGAGTTCGCGCGGCTCGCCTTCAGCGAGTACGCGGGCAAGGTATGTCGACCCTGCCGGTGGAGGACGTACTGTGGGACGGAAGACCGGTGGAGGCGGCTACAATGCTAGAAATGTTTTGAGCTGCAGAGTCGCTAAACAGGACTCGAATCGAACGTGTGACCCCACCAATGGATTCCTCGTTCGAAGAGCAATCCATTGGTGGGGTCACCGGTTCGGTTCGAGTCTTATTTGGCGACTCTGGAGCTCAAATCGCGTCCGGAATTTTGACCACCTCCGCCGGTCTTCTAGCCCACTGTGGGACGGCGAGAACGCCAGGCCGAACACTGTGCCTCTTGCTGCAGGCCAAGCTGTGGATCACCATCAACGAGGCCAACAACTACTGCACCTACTTCCCCAACCTGTACCAGAAGGTCGGGCTCTACGCTGACGGCGACATGGACCCCTTCACGTGCATGCGCCACACCATCCTGGCCCACGCAGAGGCCTACCACCTCTTCAAGGAGGCCGGTCACGAGGGTGAGCGTCGTCGCGCGTCGTCGCGTGCGGCAGCAACCCAGAGTTAGGCTTCCCTGGTGAAACTGGAGCTTAGTTGTACGCTCCATTCAAGCGTATAAATACGCTCCGAGACTTTACGCTTCAAGTCAAGCGTAGAGAATAATCCCATGCGTAGAGAATAATCCCATGCGTTAAGATAGGCGGGGCGGAAGGCTCGCTTGAAGCCGAGCGTAGCAGCCACTAGGCTTGGGGAACGGCTTAAAAGTACGCTTCAGTTCCACCATAGTGTTCGAGTCGGTTCTTAAACCAACAGCAGCTGTTGAGGCCCTCCTCCTCCTAATGGCTTGGCGTGGTGCGCAGGCCAGGTGGGCTTCTCGGCGCTGGTGTTCACGGCCCGCCCAAACTCCACCCGCCCCGAGGACGTGTACTCCGCCGACGCCTTCAACCAGGTCGCCGCCGGCGTCCTGCTCAACCCCGTCGTGCACGGCGACTACCCGGAGGTGAGTGCGCCGACGGGATCGGGCTGACCAATCATAAGTTCATTACGGCAAAAAGACACAAAAAATGGCAACAATAACACTGTGAAAATAGATTGAAAAATTCGAAAGGTGCGATTCTTTGGGAATTTCCAAAGATTTTTTTGATGTGCTGTCCCTGCTGGAAACTCATCTAAAATAAAAACATTAAGAAATTTAGGAAGTTTCCAAAACTTGGAGGCAATTTTCCTCCGGGGATTTCCAAGCTTTTCCATGCAGCAGTGCACTGGGTTGTTCGCTGACACTCGTGGCCGCGTTGCAGCTCTTCAAGCGGCTGGCCGGCAGCAATCTGCAGCCCTTCAGCGACGCCCAGAAGCGGCGCATCAAGGGCACCGCGGACTTCTTGGCCTGCAACGTGTACTTCGGCATCGTGGCGGCCTTCACCACCGCCGACATGACCGCCTTCAGCAAGGTCCCCATCTTGGGGCAGTACCTCGCCGTCCTGCCCTTCGTCAGCCCCAGCGTCGTGGGCACCGACCTCTCGCACATGAGCAGCATGTTCAGCGTGGTGGGTAGGATGTCTAGTGGATTTGCCAGAAGATCGGCGCCGGCGGCCAAAACTCTCGACTCGTTTCGAGCTCCAGAGTCGCCGAACGGTGCTCGAACCGAGCGTTTGACTCCACCAATGGATTGCCCTCCGAACGAGGAATCCATTGGTGGCCTCACGCTCGGTACGAATCCTGTTTAGCGACTCTGGAGCTCAAAACGCCTTCGCAATTTTGACCGCCTCCTCTGTACACGGCAAAACCAACGTCCGGGTTTCCCAGGCGCACCCTGGAAAAACAGGGCATTTTTCCAGGGTGCGCCTGGGAAACCCGGACGTTGGTTTTGCCGTGTAAAATTGACGAGGAACCGTGATAGGAAGCAATTCTACTAGGCATTAATTGAAGCAGACTCGCGTGCACTAAGACTGCACTGGCAAAAAAAAGTGTGGAGAACTCCACACTTGAAGAGCAGAGACTGCAAACTCTGCACTTCCAAGTGTGAAGACTGCAAACTCTGCACTTCCAAGTGTGAAGACTGCAAATTCCACACCTACGCAATTCACTTGGTTTCACAGTGTGTAAGTCAAGTCATGAGTCCTCCTCTCCCCGCAGGTCACGCCCGACGCGATGCGTTCCGCAGTGGTGTGGGCATGGAACGAGTACAGACTCCCGCTGGTCATTTCCGAAAACGGCTTCGGCGACATATACGGACTGGGCAAGAAGGACCGCCTCCGCGGCGTTTACCACAGTGTAAGTAGTATGCCAGGCCGCGATCAAGTTTCACCAGGTTTGAGTCGAAGGTAATGGTTACATGGTTCTTTTATTTTTTCAGCTCTACCTGCGCTCCCTTGTCTCGACGATGAAAGAGTTCAGCATCAAGGTGATCGGATACTGCACTTGGAGTTTGATCGACAGTTTCGAGTGGAGCGCCGGGTACAGGTAAGGGCAATGCCGTATTCGCAAACCATCCAAGTCTGGAGGTGTGTGGGTTAAGTTACCGAAAGAGCCGAGCTGAAAACTGAAACCGATTTGGCAACGCAGCCGCCCGTTTGGCCTGGTGCACGTGGACTACGAGGGAGGCAGCCTGGACCGCAGCATGAAGGACTCGTCGCAGTTCTGGATCGACTTGGCCAGGACGGGGTCGGTCCCGCTCTGGGAGGAGGACACGGCGTCGTCGGCGTCCTCGACGGCCACCTCGGCCACCCTGCTGCTGTTGCTGGCGATGCCAGCCTACTTCCTCTCAAGTTCCCTCGCGAATCAATACATTTCTCTGTGAAGCCTGACTGATGTTCGGACCCGCCAAGGTCTCAAGCTGCAGACCAGCACTATATAGATCTGAAAGCTAACGTCGCTAAACTTATTAAAATATCGGTGAACGACAGCCTGGAGACGCCCACAATCATTATCCTGGATTATTCCCGCATCATTATCAGCGCTGTTAGGCCTCAATGGGCCTTTAGCGTCCGAGTAAGCAATGGCGACAAACACAGCGCTCAGACTGCAATCCTCAGGCAGTGCCTTGTCTTCGGCAGTCACCCTCTATGGAACACGGGCACAAGCAGGTCCCATCCCAAATACTGTGTCCGTGGGGTAGTGCTACGCACGCTATTTGAGTTTCACGGAGCCCAAGACTGTAGCCACGCAGTTTGTGGGGAGACAGTTGCGGCCACAACAAACTTGGAAGCGTTCGGCGGCGGGGACAGACAGCCTGCGAGGTAGGCCACCCGGCCGCAGCGCTGTCGCGCGGCTGCCTACCCCGCCGTCAGCAGGCTGACAAGCCCTGCCAGCACAGCCAGCGAAGCCAGCAGGCAACAGGCACTACCGCCCTGTTTACCAGCCTGCTGTCGCTAGTCCAGGCAGGCCCCCCGGCGGGCCTCCAAAGCCCCCGCGAAGGCCCCCCCCCCTTTCCCCCTCGCTGCGCCGCGGTGCAGCCTCGCTCTGATTGGCGCCTTCCTCTGCTAAGCCGCCGCTCGGCTTCGCCGCTCCCGTTCGCCAAACAAATACAGCGGGGCCGGCTCTTTGTTTCAGACCGACGGCTAAAATGCCTGCCGACCCTAAGGCAAACCCGAAGGGCAATCCGAAGGGCATGGCGCCGCCGATCTCGGCCCACGACACTGTCACTCTCTCGTCCGCCCCGGCGCCGTCCCAAAAAGACAGTGTCTGGGGCAAATCGGTCCGATTCGGCGGGGAGGGCGCCACACACCAGAGTGTGTGTGTGTGTGACTGTGTGCAACTCAGTGAACGACGCAACGAGGCGCGCCGCACGGCACGCACTCGCAGTGTCGGTCAGTGTGGTGTCTATTCGCGCTTGGCGCGGTCGAAGGCCGTGCGAGTCTCTGGAGTGTGCAGTGCACGCAGTGCAGTATCGGGTGGCTGTGGAACCGGAGCACGCAGCACGCTCGCGCCGCACTTGGCTGCGTGTCAATACGACGGCACCGCGTGGGGCCGCGACCGGCACGGCACGGCACGGCGAGCCGGAATCCGGGCCAAATCTTTCATTACAGTCCCCGCTTCTCCGAACTCCGGCCGCGATCGAAACTGTTTTGGCGCCGAGCCACGCCACGCCACGCCGCACCCGGCCTTGCTGCGCCCCGGCTCCCAAAAGCTGGCCCCACACACTGCCTTGCCCGGCCTCGCCACCCCGTTATCCAATCGTCGATCATCCATCCCGGAGGAGTTTCACTTGGGTGTAAAAACGAATCGGAATCTCTTCATCGCATCCGTGGCGCGGCGTGGCGCGGCGGTGGAAAGGTCGCACGGCAGCTCCCGAAAAGCGTCGCCGTCGTGCCATAACATCCGGGGAAAGGAAAGGCCCGCCGGGCGCGCCGCCGCTCCGCCCGCGCCCACTTTGGAGGACGGCAAACGCCAACGGCGAACTGCGAACGCGACGCGCGTTCTCTCTCACTTTCAACTTTGGCCAGTGGAGCGGCAGTGCCGTCCCGTCCCGGCGGCGCGAACTCCGCCTGCTCCAGCAGACTGATATTCCGACAGCCATTTTCGTCGCACCTGTACGGAACGCCCCATGAGTGCGAGAGAGACGGAGCAACGAAAACGGATTCCGTCTGCAGGTGTTGACAAAGTCGCGCCTCGCCTCGCCTCGCCCGCTGGCTGCAGCAGCTGCCGCGTCGCACGGGCATCATTTATGCAAAGCGGCTTTGCGCGCTGCAGGGCTGGAGTCGGCTGGAGTGCGCGCCGCGTGCGTGCCGCACCGCCTCGGACACGCGGCCAGCACTGGAGTCTCAAAGGTCAGAGCGCCCCGCCCCGCCCCTCGCGACATGCACCTGCAGGGGCGTGAACAGGAGAGTCAGGCCGTAATGGAATCACGCCCCAGCGACACCAGCAGACGGATTCCGAGAGTCGCTTTCGTCGCTCGGTCTCTCTCGCACTCATGGGGCGTCCCGTGTGGGTGCGAGAGAGACAGAGCGACGAAACCGTCTGCAGCGCCGTCATGGCGTGGGGCAGCACGTCCGCGCCTTCTCGCGCGACTGTGCACGCCGAGGCCCTCCTTGACGGCGTGGCGCGCGGCGACCGAGCCAGCAGCAGCATTCTAGCACGGCGGCGGCAAACTCTTAACCAGCTCGGCCGAGCCAGTGCACGCAGTGCAGGCCGTGCTGCAGTCTCATGCTGTCTTCCTCGCACTGGCCGCTCTGGCGGCACCGAGGCGGCACGCCCCGCGAGTGCGACGGAGACAGACGATCGTCCCGTTACCTAGGCGCGCCTAATAACGCGCCCCACCCCGCCTCGCCCCGCCTCGACAGCATCCCGGCACCCTTGGGCGCGCTTGGGCGGGCCCAGGACCGAGCGTCGCCGGGCCGCTCATCAAGGGGCGTGAGCGCGCAGTGCACGCAGCGGTCCAGCCGCCGGAAGGATCGTCTAGTCGCTCTGTCTCACTCGCACCCCCGGGCCGCCCGAGAGAGACCGAGCGATAGAGCCATCCTTCGGAACCCGGCGGCAGGATCACCAGCGTCAACATCGTCAGCGGCAGAGCGGCCGCAGCTGCAGCGCCGCCATCACCATAAGCACACAGAGCTTGGAGTGCTCGGGCACGCCGCGCGCACGCCGCGCCGCCAGGCCGGGCGGAAAACAGAGACACCCATCGAATGCGGCGACACGCCGAGCGGCACGCCCTGCCGGCCAGGCTGCGCATTCCGATTTGGAATTGGTGCGGCGGTCCGCAAACAGACGCCACAAACACTGGTACCGTCGCTCCGTCTCCGTCGCACGGACGGCGCGACCCGCGTGGGTGCGAGAGAGACGGAGCGACGAAGGGCCGTGACGCAAGCGAGCGGCAGAAGGAAGTCTTGTCTTTCTTCGACACAAAGGTATCGAGTGGGCGGCGGCGGCGCGCCATGCGACGGAAGCCGCGGAGAAAGGCTGCGGTAGGCAAAAGGAAACGCGGAGGGGAGGGGGAAGGGGGGATTGCCAAATCACTTTCCAGCGGCAGCCAGTCGAGCCTGCCGCCGCGGGGCGCGGGGCCACGCGCCGCCGGCAACGGCACCAGACTCACGGTGACGGGGCCAAGAGCGAACCGGCCCAGCCATTTCCCGAGGATCAATTCGTCGCTCTGTCTCTGTCGCGGTTCAAGCTGCGCTGCGAGAGCGACAGAGACAGAGCGACGAAACGACAGTCCGGAATCGCTCGTCAGCCTGCTCCTGGCGCGAGCCACGCCTAGAGGAGAGACCAGACGCCGCGTCGCCGTCCAGACAGGGTGCTCAGGGCACAGGTGTCAGCCACCACACTGCCACCGCCATGGCGCGCCAGAAGCAGTCCGGTCCACACAAGGTCATCGCACATCATCACTTTCACCCGGGCACTCATGCCTCTGTCCGCGAGGAGAGGATACATAAGCGCCAGGACGCGGGGCGGCGGGGCCCGCGGCCCTGCTGGTGCTCAGCTACCCAGATGGCGTGGCCGTGGCGTGGCCGTGGCGTGGCCCGCCGAACAGATCCGAACAGCGCGGAAACATTTCGCGGGCTTAGAGACTTTCGAGTCTGCCGCCTGGCCGGCTGGTCTGGGAAGCAGTGCTGCTAAACCGTGGGAAAGTTTGCCAGGGGCGAGTTTCTTATCAAATGCCACGAAAGGAGTAGCGACGGCAAAAAGAGAGATAGAGAGAGATTTCGATAAGTGACGGATGAGTAGAAGAGTATTGGCGCCACTTTGAAGGCAACGAGACGTTTGCGGAGTAGTTGATTCAAAATGGCCGTACGCGAGTGCCACTACCTAAAACGGGATCGGTATTTGACGGGCTTTGGCTTTTCTTGGCGGGGTGGGGGCGGGTGAGGCCCCCCCCCCCCCCTCTTGAAGGCCCTGCGCCTGCGTGCCTATCCTGGCCCGGCTCGTGTGGGGTGTAATGGGTACTACGGTGTAGCGGAGCCAGCCGGCCGGGCGAAAGTAGCGTCCGAGCGAACGCATTCGATATCCAATCGGATTGACTGCCCGGCCAGCTCAGCCGGCTGGGCCGATCGACGGCCACATCACGCCGCGCCCCGCGCCGCCCGGCCGCACGACTCCGACGTGCAGGCACGCACGCCGCGCCACGCCACGCACGCCGCGCGCGTCGCCATCCCGGGCAGGACGAGGTGGAGGCGGGGAACCGCCAGGTAGAGCCGGCTTCGCCGATGGAACTGTGGAGGAAGAGTTCACGTCGGCGCGCACCTCCCAGTCATCGCGCGCACGCACAGCCACGCCGTCGTCTCGCCGTCCTACAGTCGCGCAAAAGTGACGGAGGCACGCTGACGACGCCGAACACCGCCGCAGCAGCGGTCCCGTTCCTCAAACAGCGAAACAGCCAAACGTGAGCAATTTCTGGGCCGGAGTCTCGTCTCGTCTCCCGCCCTGCGTGCCGCGCCGCCGTGCCGCCGTGCCTTGCGAGCGGCCTGGAAGCCTGCAAGCTTGGAAGATGAAGTAGCGGGCCTTCTCGGCGCGGGGGGAGGGGGAGGGGGGCGTGGATCTTCCTCAGTTCACTCTCCGCTCTGTTTGGCCCGGGATTTGTTCCAGCCAGCGCTGCAGCCTGCAGTCATTATCCCCGGCATGTCCTTCGAACAATGGCGGAAGGGGGAGGGGGAGGCGACAGTTAATACCGTTCATGCATTTTCACCGCGATGGCGCGAGTCTAGCCGCGGTCACCGGGACCGCCAGGACCGCCAGCACGACGGCGTCGTCGGAGGGCACACTGCAGCGGCGCCGCCCCCGCCGCCCCCGCCTCCACTTGGCGGAGTGCTGCTCGGCTGCCCGAGGGACTCGACGGCAGCGAGGCCAAGAAGGAGGCCTCGCGGAAGGCCCGCCAAGCGTGACCGCGAACCATCCAAAAGGGCCCCTTTGCATCGTGCATCTTGCATACCGCGGGCGGGCAAACTGCGCGGCGCTGTCCGTGTAGGACGCCGCGCAAGTGCGAGAGAGACGGGCACTGCTTGGAATCGGCTACCCCACTGCTCGACGGCGCACAGTGGGTCAGAAGACCGGCGCAGACGGGAAGAACACTAAACGAGTTTTCGTGTTTTGAGCTCCACAGTCGCTAAAGAGGACTCGAACCGAAAATGGATTCCTCGTTCGGAGGGCAATCCATTGGTGGGGTCACACGTTCGGTTCGAGTCCTATTTAGCGACTCTGGGGCTCAAAACACGTCCGGGTTTTCGACCGCCTCCACTGCTCGACATGCCCTACCTTCCTCACCTTGCGCGGCTGCCGCGGCGACTGCTTGCGCAGGTTGCTGCGGCCGTTGATGATGACGTTGCTGCCCTCGAAGACCACGCTGCAGGGCGAGGGCGGCTCCACCAGCCACTCGTCCACGTCGCCCATGCCGTCCGGGTCGCCGTCCGTCGAGGACTCGTCCGCGCTGGCGCCCAGCAGCAGCACGCCGCCGTCCTGTAGAACACACACACACGTTAGCAGGCTTTACACGGAAGCCCCATCGACCACACGGATAACGACCGCGCACCGCGCCATGCCATGACCCACCGCCGCCTGGACCGCAGCGCGGCCCCGCCAGCCCCGCCACCGCGACCGCGCCAACAAGTACCCCAGCGCGGTGCGCCGCCATCGCTACCTTTCCCACCGTCTTCCAGCAAGCGGGTCCGCGTCCGCGGCGGCGGGGAGTTATGGACTCTCGGGGAGAGTGTCCAGTGCCGTGCCCTGCAATTTGCCCATGACGCATGGCGGCCCGCCAGTGCGCTGGCAGGGCCTAGCGCCACACTGTGAAGCCATCGTGAAACCCGGGCACTGTGGCCCGCATTGTCCTCCCCGGTTCGCTTTCAAGTAAAGACCCTTGTGCGCCGTTGGGCCGCGGGTCCCGGAATGCGAAGCGGCGAAGCGCTTTTCCTTTTACAGTGGCGTGCACACGCCGGCTAGGAAGCGAGCTTTACTAGCTTATTCCGAGCCAATCTGGCGGCCCGGCCAGGGCAGGGCAGGGCAGGGCACACGCCACGCCAAGCCACGCCACGCGATAAACCCGTTTCCCTGCAGGCCTGCAGGCGACACCGCGAGGGGCGTCGGCGTCAGGGCAAACATTGACAGTGCGGACGCCCCCCGCGGGGCACGCGGGGCCACGAAGCCCGCCGCAAAAGCAGGTCAGGCCCGCCACGCCGCCCTCCTCTCATCAACGCGGGTAAACAGCCTACAGTGTGGACAGCGGGCACCGAGGGGGACACCCCGAGCACGTCGTGGCGTGCATCATTTAGGAGGGAGCCCCGGTGGGGTCACTCGGGGCACACACGGCCCTCGGCCCGCTGGACTGCTTCCTTTCACGGTGACGGCGGGGCACGGGGTCACTGGGGTCGCCGGGTCAGCCCTGGGTCAGCGGCGGGGCTGTGGCTACCCGAAGTAAATCGAGGCTAAAAGAAACGCCAGAGTGGAGAGCGTGTGTGAGGCTGCGGGGGAAACTGCTGCACCTCAACGAGCTCCTCGAGCCGCTCTTGCCGCTGCAGGTCTTGTAGGACGCCTTGCTGGTGCAGGGCGCCTTGCAAGACGCCTTGCAGGACACCTTGCGGGACGCCTTCCAGGACCCCTTTCAGGACCTCTTCCAGGACCTCTTCCAGGACCGCCTCCAGCGGCGAACCGCAATGTCCAGTCCCCTGTCCGGCAATCTCCGGCCGGCGGCTCAAACAGCCTCTCCCCCGGCGCGGTGCAGTAGAAAGCTGTCCTTGGACTTTGCCACTTTGCATCTCCAGATTGATCGGCCGGCAGCGTCCCTCTACCTCCGCTTTGACGAGCTGGGCCTGCCGGCCTGCTGAGCATAATGGCGCCCGTGTTGGGCTGTCGTCATCGCCGGCGGCGTAGCGCGGGGGCCGCGGGGGCCGCGAGGGCGTGTGGGAAGCGCCGCGCACAGTGGCGCCCCGCCCCGGCCCGCCCCGGCCTCCACTTCACTTTCTACCTTCAATCAAACAACGGCGCGAGGCGGCCCGCCCGCCAACGAGCGAACAAACATCGGTACACTCCGTGCGCCCCGCGCCCCGCCTCGTCCTTCGTCCTTGCCGGCCGCCAGGCAGTGCCAGCCCCTTATCAGCCCATCGGCTGCCATCGGCTGCCATCGGCTGCCATCGGCCCACGGGGAGAAGGGGCGCCACTATCGTCACTGCTATCTGGCCACGGCGGCCACGGCGGCCACGGCGACGTCACCACGCCCAGTGCCGGATCCAGGGCCGGCCCAGAGTAGGGGCAGCGCTTTTTGCCCACCTACAGGGTCGCAAAGTGTCGCTTTTTGCCCACCTTTCAGGCGGCTTTCAAGAGATCAAGATAAGGCCAATTGTCCCCACTGGCTCCCAGCCTGACCGACGCCCAAAGATTCCCAGAGGCGCACGCCAGTCGACGAGAACAACCAGCTGATCTCCGTTTCTTTATCCTTCGCTCTTCTCTTTCCATCCAGCCTCCAGTTATTTTTTTTTTTGCAGCAGCATTTCCTATCCTGCTGGCGAGGCCGCGAGCCCCGACCACATGCGAGGGCCCCGCACCTCCCCGCCGCGCCCCGAGTCGTCGGCCCCTCAACATCATCGGCCCGGCAGCATCCGGCCGCGGGCGTGAAGGGAGAGGCGAGAGGAAAGGAGGGGGGCGGGGTGTTTACATTGCGCAAGTAGCCGATTGGGACGTGCGGGTCCAGCAGGGCGGCGCGGCTCACAATGGCGATGCGAGAGACAAGGTTCCCTTCCCTTCCCCGCGAGGGCCGCGTCATCGAACGCCCTCCCCGCGATTGAAAAGAGCGCCGTGTACTCGACGAGTGAAATCGGAAAAGGCCGCTAACGACCGTCCGTCTCTCTCGCACTCGCGGGGCGTGGGCGCGCCAAGTAGGTGCTGGAGGGAGACAGAGCGACGCAGGGGAGGGCGCGATAAGGCCTCGTCCGGCCGGCATCGAGTCGAGGCCCAGTCCGGCCGCGCCTAGCCTCGCCGCCCATCGCGCCCGATAGTGCACTTCCTGCAGAGCAGAGTCCAAAAACGCGTCGCCCGCTGCAGCGCGCTGCAGTGGCGATGCACTGCCGTCGACTATCGTCTGCAGACAACCGGCGCCATTCGGAACCCGGCCTCGCCTCGCGGCCCTCTCCGTCTTCGAGACTGGAGTGCGGTTCGGTACCGTGTTTCGTCGTCCTCTCTCTCTCCCTCTCTCCTTCTCTCAAACACCCGCACACGAGTGCGGGAGAGGGAGGGAGAGAGAGAGAGAGAGAGAGAGAGAGAAGGGCCACACGCCCGGCCCGCTCCGTCCGGTCGATGAACTGGACCAAGCCTCCCGTGTCATGCGGCGGCACGCGGCAGGCGGCATGGCCGTGCCTCTTGCCTTTGCATCCTTCCCTGCCTCACTTGACTTCACACGCCGTCGCGCGGCCCCCGTCCGGGACACGCGGAGCAGCGAGGGCCTAGACGCGGCGGGGCGGGGCGGGGCGCGACGGGAAAGTGCTCGGCAGTCCCTCCCGTTAGTCCCGCGGCACCAGTTTGCGCCGTTTTGGAGCGGTCGGCCGGTCCGGGCCCCTGCGGCAGGAGGCTCCGCCATGGCTCCGCGTGCTGCGCCATGGCCGCGGGGGCTCCGGAGCGCGGAGCGACGAGAGTCGTTTTCGTCGCTCTGTCGCTCTCCCACATATACGGGACGCCACATGAGTGCGACGCCTACGAGACTACGCATTTATGTACTACAGATAGCCAGTGTGTACTGTAGGCCTGTTGGTTGCTTCGCGATGCGCCATGGCACAGTGGGCCAGAAGACCGGCGGAGGCGGCTCCAGAGTCGCCAAATGGGACTCGAACCGAACGTGTGACCCCACCATTGGATTGCTCTCTAAACGAGGAATCCATTGGTGGGGTCACACGCTCGGTTCTAGTCCTGTTTAGCGGACTCTGGAGCTCAAATCGCATCTTGAGTTTTAGGCCGCCGGCGCCGGTCTTCTCTGGCCCTCAGTGTGGGCCCTTCCAGCCCATCCGTCCAGCAGGTGGGCACGCCAGGCACGCCACACTGCCAGTCAGCTGCCGTACAACGCCAAGGGCGCGGCGCCGCGGCGCTCGGACAATACGCAATTCCAGCGACGCATCCTCGCGCATGCCGCACCGTGCCGGACCATGGCCGGACGCGCTTTCCACATCAGACCGTTCAAAGTGCCACGAGGCGACAACGAGATGTTTATCGTCCGCCTCGCCAGCCCCCCTCCCGCCTCTTTTTTCACCGACATCCTTTCGTGCCGGGGCCACTGTAAGGCCACTGTAAGGCCACCACACTGGCGTTGCAGAGCCGCGCGGTCCATGGCGGCGCAGTGCATTGCCGGCGCCGCGAGTTTTGGCGTCGAACGCCGCCATTCGGGCGCCACCTTACGTCAGGCGGCATCACGCCGTCGCTAAACTGCAGCGCCTCGCGGGGCCACGCCGCGGCGGGCCACGGTGCCGTGAGCGCAAGCGAGGCGAGGCGAAGCGCTCCAGTTCGGGGCGCGGCGCCTTGCCTTACTTATTATGTACTCCGCGGCTCCGCGGCCCACTTCTGCCAGTGGCGCCGCCGCCATCACGCCGAGGATGACACGAAGGCGGTCTTCGAGGAGGCTGCAGGCTCATTCCGAGGGTCGTCTTCGTCGCTCCGTCTCTGTCCCCCTCGTGGGGCGTCCCGTGCCGGCGCGAGAGAGACAGAGCGACGAAAACGACTCTGCAGAGGCGCCGCGGTGACGTGCCATCCCAGCGCGCGGCCTAGAGGCCTAAAAACAGAGGCAGCGTCTCAAGTACGTCGCGTCGCGCCCCGACGACGCGGTGCCGCCAAGCGACGCCTTCAGCCTTCAGCAGCGCCGCGCACTTCGAGAGCCTTGCCTTTCCCCGGGCCCACCGGGCCCCACCGCGTGGCTGCGTGGCGTGCTCGTGGCGGACGAATCCGGGGCCCCGGCAGCCCTGCCAGCCCCGGGCCGGCCCTGCAGATTACCATCGAGGAGCCCGGCGAGTCGTGCCCCGCGGAAGGACTGGCCTCGGCCAGCGTGGGGGAGGGCGCGCTCGTGTGCGTGTCTGAGTGTGTAGGGCAGGGTGAGCTGGCCGGTGGGCGCAGGGGACACGACCCGCCCCTCGTCGCAACGATGAACCCGCGGACGGTAACGCAAGCTGTCGTCGGCGTGCGTACACTGCATGTGTCCCTCCCCACATCCAAACTGAGTGGGCAATAGGGCGCTTGACTGATTTGCCTCCCGCTGCGACGAGGCCGCCAACCCGAAAGCACGGCACGTGGGGACTTCAACGCGGGGCCGTCCGCGTCGGAGAGTGTAGGGCGGGCTGCCTGCCTTCCCGGCGGCCTGGATGGATGTAGGCCGCGGCGACGGCGGCGTGGCCCGCCACCGCCCCGCCCGGCTGGCTCGCTGGCGGCGCACTCACCCCGCTGCACGATTCGCGGCTCCAATTTATGAGAAAACACGACGCAGTGGATGA